TAAAATAAATGTTTATCAAATAAAGTCTAATGTTACAACTAATCAGGGATCCCTTTAAAATGATTGTCTTTTGACCCAAACGATTATATGTAAGTGAGGGTGTTGTAAGATGAGGCATGTGATGTGTTTGGTAAATACAATATGTGCACAGAAATACGGGGGGAATATATTTTATGTTTATCTGGCAACCCTGATGCTGGGCTCAGCTGCAAAGCACATGCAGTGTCAGCATGATGACAGTTTTGTCCAAACTGGTGAATACAAAAATGGTCCTTCAGACCTTGGATGTTGTTAATTTTGCTTCTACGTAATGTAAATGAGTTAGAAGCACAAAAATCATTTTTTTCTCTATTGTAATTGATGTTAGAGCAGACCCCTGTGTGCACATGTATCACATCTGCAGAGTATTTAGTGGGTTCTCCAAATAGTTCCAGTGAGAGACTTAAATCATTGTTGTCATGTAAATAAATGGCTGAACTGCAGCAAAAATGCCAGTTCACTGAAAACCAGCTTAGTTCATTCAAATTTAGTATAACAACATGTCACAACAAAAATACTTGAGTACTACTCAACTTATTTTTTATTATTAATGGACCTCACTAATATTTGGAGTCAACTCTATTCAAGATGGATGCCACAGCCCACTATACCCAATCTTACAGATAATGAGCTCATTTTGATGTGGGTGTACTGCAGCTGAGAGAAATTCACAGTACACATTGAGGGCTATAATTTGCACAGCATCTTTGCTTTGGTTTTAACCTTTAGAGTCAGCTCTGTTTTCATGAGGCTACRTCTTGATCAAATTTACAAACTGAACTAAAGGTTAGTATAATAGTAGCTAGTAACACATGCTCTAAAATGATCACACAGTATTGCACAAGACTGTACATTTTTCAAGGCTTGACAAAAACAGTTTTGACTGTTCCTCCTCATGACATTATCTTAGTTTAACATTCTAAGGTGTCAAAGGAGGTGTGATTCTTTCCAATAATCTTAAGCTTTTATTAAATTGTTATTTTCCAACATGGCTGTTCAAAGACAACTAGTTTCAAATACTGTAAGTCCTGTAGGACCAATATTATCCACTATATGCTGTAAGTAAATGTGTGTTTATGGACAAGACTTGACTTTCAGATTTGTTGTTTTTCAGATATCAATATTTCCCAAGTATTTTTGCCATTGAATGGAACTTTGATGCACCATAAAGTTTTACGCTCTGCTACATTCCTTTATCTCCATTTCCCCTGTCGCTGTTGTTTTTACTGCTCTGTACTCAGACATCAAATCTGAAGACTCTCATGTAAAAAGCGTCAAGAAAGGAAAAGGAAAGAAGGATAAGAAGAAAATGACAGTCGATCCATTTGAAAAGAAAAGGCCAAAGCTGGATGAGCTGAAGGTAAAGAACAGCTGAACATGTTGGTTTCATCCAGGTGGATGAGCACTCTTGATCCAAGAGGTTATTAAAATGTGCTCTGCTGTGTTCAAACAAGGTGTATCCAAAGGAGCTGGAAAGTGAGTTTGATGGCTTTGAGGACTGGCTGCACACTTTTAACCTGTTCAGAGGAAAAGGCGGTGATGATGATGAYCAAAATGTTACAGATGAGGACAGGATTGTTGGGAAGTTTAAAGTAAGAAACTATTTTTTTACATATATATATTTAATATTTAGGAAGTATGAAGTAATTGGAAACAGTATAAACAGAACAGTACCTTGAAAAAGGATTCATACCTCTTGAACTTTTTCATGTTTTGTCCCTTTACAACCACAAACTAGTCTTTGATACTTTTGGCTTTTAGGTGGAATTAGCTACTTTTAGCATTTTGTTAGACTTTTGTTGCTTTCCTCATGCTACTTTAACGTTTAGCTAGCCCAGGGTGTGCAATCCTGGTCCTCAAGGGCTGCAGTTCTGGATGTTTTATTTGTTTCTCTGCTCCAACACACCTGATTTGAATGAATGGGTGATTATCAGGCTTCTGCAGAAATTGGAAGATGATGACTGAATCAGGTGTGTTGAAACAGGGAAAAATGTAAAATATGCAGAGTGCTGCCCATCCCTGAGCTAGCGTCTTGTTAATTTTAATCTTTAGCTATCATTTCAAACCAGCCACTAGAGGGCCCATAAATGGTAAATGGTCTAAACTTATAGCAAGTCCAAGGACTCCAAAGCACTTTACACTACAGTCACACATTCATACACTGATGGTGGTAAGCTAACAGACAGGCTGACAGACACAGGTCTTTGTAATCCTGTGGTACCAAGCCTAAATAAGTTTGCACCACCCAGCTGCTTCTGTCAGGAAGGGCATCCCGCATAAAACTTATTTGCCAAAACAAACATTCAGGTTCATCATGTGCTAATGTTAGTTGTAGACCACGATGAGGAGGCAGGGGAGAAAAGAGAGTAAAGCGTGTAGGACTCTTGTAATTTCACTCTTCATAAAATTGATGGTTACAAATAAAAGTTAGGCTGCACATTGCGTATGTCTACACATAACTCGAAGTGAAGAAGTGTGCTACACTTTCCTGTTGCGCTCATGTCAATTTGAACATCACATATACAAGTAAAATAATGTATGCAGCTGAGTACTTAACTGCAAAAATGTGAACAGAGCAAGCTCTATACTCAAGGGTTAACAAATGTTTCAATGTATTTTTAATACTTTTGTTAAATTATATTTTACCAACTATCATAGGATCACACTTCTCACCCTCTCAGAAAAATTTTTCTCCAGAGTGTTGAAAGAGAGGCTCTGATAAAATGTCAAACCTTGGATTCAAGAGGTGCAGTGTGGCTTCCGTCCTGCTTGTGGAACAGTGGACCAGATTGTTACCCTTGCAAAGTTGCTAAGGGGGTTGTGGGAGTTTGCCTCTCAGGTCTACATGTGTTTTGTGGACCTGAAAAAGGATTATGACCATGTTCATAGGCATTCTGTGGTGGTGGTGGTGGTGGTGGTGGGGTGTTGCAGTAGTATGGACTCTCTGTGTTGCAGAGACCTGGTCCCTATATAACCAAAGCAGAAGCTGCTGGAAAGAGAGTCAGCCATGGTTCTCAACCAGAAAAGGGTGAAATACCCTCTCCAGGTCAGGGGGAGTCTCTGCCTCAAGTGGAAAAGTTTAAGTATCTGAGTGATGGTAAAGAAAGGAACGGGAGACTGAGCGACAAATTAGGGCCTAGTTCTTGGTAATTCACATCATCAATGCTTTGGTCGGTCGTGGTGAAGAAAGAGCTGAGTTATAAGGCAAAGTTCTTTATGTACTGGTCTAAGCTGGTCATGAGGCGCAAATTATGACAGAAAGAACTAGATCCCAGAAACAAGCARCCGAAATAAGCTTCTTTTGTAGGGAGGGGTTCAGCATAACGCTGCGTTCAGACCAAATGCGTTTTGAGCATCAGGAGTGTCAGGTTTACATGCAAAGTCTATGGTGGATGCGCGGCAAGCAGCGTCAGAAGTGCTGTGGCACGTCTGGCGTGATTTGCGTGTCAAGCACGTTGAACGCTGGAGTTGGAAAATCTGAACTTTTGCGGCTCGACGCGGCGCATCAACCAATCAGAGAGACTCCACTCTGTGACATAGTCACACATTTTCTGATGGGACAGTTTCCTGAATGATGTCCACTAACCTGAGACAGATGGACAGGAGCTCTTTAGCTAAAAACGAGTGCCTGTAGTCAGTGTCCTGGCAGGAGATATCGGCACCGATTCGGGTCAGCAGCTCATCAAACTGAGCTCAGGACAAAAATAGTTCTGAAAGCGAGACTTGTCAGCTTACAGCTACTGGGTGATGAAAACGTCTATGAATTATATGGTGAATTAATTATGAATTAATTATCTGATGAGCACAAAGTTCTCATGCTCTCAGTAAATAAAGCAAAGGTGGGAACAAACTCTCGATGCGCTTGATCGCGTCATGTGCCTCAAGAGCAGTTTTGACTCGAGCCTGACTTGAAGTGTCAGGCGCAATTTTGACACTGAAATCGCGTTCGGTGTCAATGCAGCATTAGAGATAGTGTGAGAAGTTCAGTTATCTGGGGGAACTCTGCCGCTGCTCCTCTACATCGAAATTAGTCCGGGTGTGGTGGTCCGGGCATCTAGTAAGGACGCCTCCTGAACGTCTCTCATGGGAGGTGTTTCAGGTGTGTCCAACTGAGAGGAGACCTTGAGAAAGAACCAGGACACGCTGAATAGAATATGTGATATACACTCACTGGCCACTTTTTTTAGGTACACCTGTCCAACTGCACATTAACAAAAAAGTCGAATCGACCAATCACATGGCAGCAACTCAATGCGCCATGTCATAAAGTGAATCATCTCAGACTGGTTTCTTTAACACAACAATAAGTTCACTGTACTCGAATGACCTCCACAGTCACCAGATCTCAATCCAATAGAGCATCTTTGGGATGTGGTGGAACGGGAGATTCACATCATGGATGAGCAGCTGAAAAAATCTGCAACAACTGCGTGATGCTGTCATGTCAATATGGACCAGAACAACAATGGATGGTTTGAATTTTTTGGATTTAGCAGGTAGAGTGTGACAAATGGAAATGTCTTAAGGTTGAATGTGGATGTCTTTGTTTTGTAAAAAAAAGTCACTACTTGTTGCTCCAGAGTTTTCTGTTCTTCTTGTGAAGAATCCTCTGTGGTGTTAGTGTTTGCTATAACTTGTGCATAGGATCTGTGTTTAATTTCAAGTCCAGTAATTACCAAATCATCTCTTCGTGTGTATTGTTCCAGATCATCTATTCTTTTCTCTAGTTCAGTAATTTTTTTTGTCTCTGTCAGTGATCGCAACTTTCAGCAGCTTCACTTCTTCGACTAGACCGATCAAAAGTTGTTGMTGTGATGCCAGCTTTGAGATTTCAGCASTCATAAATTTCAGCGACTTTTTGATTTCCTCCATATTGTCCGAGTTGTTTTCCAAAGAGTCTAACCCTTTTCCCTGCCTGGCGCGTCTCGGCATGGCTCACCTAGACGAGCCTGGTGGTAGTTGCTCCTGGGCCTGATGTTAATAATCCCAGCCTCTGGGTTATCTTACCAGCTAGCCTCTTTCCTCCACTGTCCACCGCCTCCTGGCTAACAGCACCGGCTAGATGCTCCTTTCCAGGCCTCTCCTCTCTACCACCATGCTGTGGGCCTCTCCTCACGCTGATGTTGGCCTCTCCTCTCCACCGTGAGCTCCACCACCACGCTGCGGGCCTCTCCTCTCCACCACCACGCTGTGGGTCTGTCCTCGTACTGACGCCGGCCTCTCCTCTACACCGTGAGCTCCACCACCACGCTGCGGGCCTCTCCTCTCCACCACCACGCTGCGGGCCTCTCCTCTCCACCCCGAGCTCCACCACCACGCTGCGGGTCTCTCCTCATACCGACGCCAGCCTCTCCTCTCCACTGCGAGCTCCACCACCATGCTGTGGGTCTCTCCTCATACCGATGCCAGCCTCTCCTCTCCACCCCGAGCTCCACCACCACGCTGTGGGTCTCTCCTCATACCGATGCCAGCCTCTCCTCTCCACCCCGAGCTCCACCACCACGCAGCGGGCCTCTCCTCACACCGATGCTGGCCTCCCCTCTCCACAATGCAAAACATCAAACAGGTTCAGTCGTAAAAATATCTGGGAGCGCATATTGACTTGTCCTAGCACACAAAGTGATAAGTGTTTGTSTCCAAATCCATCAGCGTCTGAATTTTCTCCGTCGACTTAGAGTGTTTGGAGTCTGTAAGAATATTACGCTGATTTTTTACAGAACTATAATTGAGTCAGTGTTAAGATATGGCATTATCTGTTGGTTTTGTAATCTGACCATAAAATCAAAGGCTCAGATATTAAATCTGCTGAAGACAACAAATTAATGGTACAGCTGCAGCTTTAACTTTACAAGACCTGTTAGAGCAGATGGCCCTCAGACAGGCAGTGTCTTTTCTGACACCTCTAATGTTCTGCATTCAGAATATATTTTACTGAACTCAGGAAGAAAGTACAGACTTCCTTTATGTAAACACAATTGTTACAATAATAAATTCATCCTTCTATCAGTGAAGCTCAGCAATGAGCAGATGTCTCTGGAAAAACAGAGGGGACAGAATTTATGTAGGTAACTCTGTGGTAGGATGTCAGGTTTTCTTAATATAATTTATGAGTTTTTTATGTGTGATGTGTTAATTTTGTTCATATCTAATATGTTTTTTGTGCAACAGACCCACTTTCATCCAAATTTTTCCCAAGGGAGATTAATAAAGGTACTTTGACTGTTATTTGGCCTGGGAATGCCTTGGAATCCTCCCAGAAGAGCTGGAAGAGGTGGCTGGGGAAAGAAAGGTCTGGGCCTCCCCGCTCAAGCTTTTGCCCCCATGACACAAATCTGGACCAAGCGGAAGAGGATGGATGGATGGATGGATGGATGGATGGATGGATGGATGGATGGATGACTGAGGTCAATGTTTTTGCAAAAAAGGGACAAAATTTAAATCTCTAGATGTGCAAAGTTGATATAGACAAACCTCAAGATACCAGCATCAAAAGGTAGTTTTAAAAAGGATTAGTTCTGGCAGACTGAAATCCAGAGCCACACTGTTTACTTCCACACACCACTTGTGTTGGTCTGTCACATAAAATTACCAGTAAAAGACTCACGTTTATGGTTGTAACATGACAAGAAGTGGGAAAGTTTAAGATAAATGAATATTTTTTCATAACACTGTATTTATTAATTGTTTTAGCAATATCACTTTTATGTAATTTTGTGCCATGTTTATGTTGATTTGTTTCAATGTAGGGCTCAATGTGTGTGTACAAAGTGTCAGATGATATGTCCAGAGACACAAACTTCGACTCCAACATGGGAATGTTTCAGAACATTCCCAACAACGACCCAATCAATGTTCTTGTCCGCATTTATGTCATCAGGGTAAGCTTTGTGCCCCACACCTTATAGTATTATGATGTGATGATTCTTGTATATATTGTATATATTCACAGGGATTTTCAGTGTGATTATACTGTAATTTGTTTCTTCTTTCTGTTAAATAGGCTACAGATCTGCATCCAGCAGACATAAATGGGAAAGCTGACCCCTACATTGCAATCAAACTGGGAAAAACAGAGATAAAAGATAAAGAGAACTATATTTCAAAACAGCTGAACCCTTTGTTTGGCAAGTAAGCAACAAAACACTCCTGCTATCAATAAAATCTTACACATTTTCAAGTAGTTATGATTCAAAGCACATTTCTCATGTTGTCAGATCCTTTGATGTGGAGGCCACATTCCCTATGGATTCTACTCTGACCGTGTCAATTTATGACTGGGACCTGGTAGGAACCGATGATCTGATAGGAGAAACCAAGCTGGACCTAGAGAACCGCTTCTACAGCAAACACAGAGCTACATGTGGCATTTCATGTAACTATGCCACGTAAGAATCAAAGCCTGCATGTGTTTTAGTGGAAAAGCTGCTTACAAAGCAGTAGCTAAAACAAGAACAGTAATTAAAAGATAAAAAATTAAGTTGGTATACTTATGTAGGTTTCAAAGAGCATTTTCTATGCATCACAATCTTAAAGAGTTGATCACTTCTTTAACTGAGTTGCTTTCAGKTTCATCTGATCTGCGGCTGCATGTTTTGGACACTCGGGTGAARAGAGGGGTGGAGCTGTCAGCTGACCACTACCTGGTGGTGAGTTGGCTCCGTTGGTGKGGGAGGATGACGGTCAGACCTGGCAGACCCAAATGTATAGTTAGGGTCTACTGGGAATGTCTGTCAGAGTTTCCCGTCAGACTGAGCTTCAACTCACACCTCTATGGGAACTTCAAACATGTTCCGGGGGAGGTGGGGGACACTGAGTCCGAGTGGGCCATGTTCCATGCCTCCATTGTCAAGGCAGCTTACCTGAGCTTACCTGAGCTGTGGSCGTAAGGCTGTAGGTGCCTGTCATGGCGGCAACCCTCGAACCCGCTGGTGGACATCGGCGGTGACTTGAAGGCAGCTGATGGGTATCGGCAGTCCAARCGGATTGCGGCTCGAGTGGTCGCTGAGGCAAAAACTCRGGCATGGGAGAAGTTCAGAGAGGCCATGGAAAAAGGCTTCCGTATGGCTTTGAGGCAATTCTGGTCCACCATCCGGCGTCTYGGGGGGGCGGGGGGTGGGGTTCGCCACCAACACTATTTATGGTGGGGATGGTGCACTGCTGACCTCAACTTGGGACGTTGTGCGTTGGTGGACGGAATACTCTGTAGACCTCCTCAATCCTACCGACACATCTTCCCATGAGGAAGCAGAGCCTGAGGACCCTGGGTCGGACTCTCCAATCTCTGGTGCCGAGGTAACCRAGGTGGTTAAAAATCTTCTCGATGGCAAGGTGCCAGGGGTGGATGAGATTCGCCCAGAGTTCCTTAAGGCTCTGGATGTTGTGGGGTTRTGTTGGTTGACGTGACTCTACAATATCGCATGGACATYGGGGGCAGTTTCCCTAGATTGGCAGACCGGGATGGTGGTCCCCCTATTTAAAAAGGGGGACCACAGAGTGTGTTCCAACTATAGGGGKATCACACTTCCTAGCCTCCCTGGTAAGGTCTATTCGGAGGTTCTGGAGAGGAGGGTCYRTCAGATAGTCGAATCTCGGATTCAGGACGAGCAGTGTGACTAGCTCTACAACCTCAGGAGGKTCCTGGAGGGTGCATGGGAGTTCGCTCAACCAGTCTACATATGTTTTGTGGAGTTGGAGAAGGCGTTCGACCGTGTCCCTCGGGGACTCCTGTGGGGGGTACTCCGGGAGTATGGGATACCAGGCCCATTGATACGGGCTGTTAGGTCCCTGTACGACCGGTGCCAGAGCGTGGTCCACATTGCCGGTAGAAAGTCGGACTCATTTCCGGTGAGAGTTGGACTCCTCCAAGGCTGCACTTTGTCACCGATTCTGTTCATAACTTTTATGGACAGAATTTCTAGGCGCAGCCAAGGTGGTGAGGGGATCCTTCTTGGTGACATTAGGATCACATCTCTGCTTTTTGCGGATGATATGGTCCTATTGGCTTTATCAGATCGTGATCTCCAGCTCTCACTGGAGCAGTTCGCAGCCAAGTGTGAAGCGGCCGGGATAAGGATCAGTGCCTCCAAATCCGAGACCATGGTCTTGAGCCGGAAAACAGTAGCGTGCCACCTCTGGGTCGGGGAGGAGGTCCTGCCTCAAGTGGAGGAGTGTATCTCGGGGTCTTGTTCACGAATGAGGGAAGAATGGAGCAGGAGATCAACAGGCGGGTTGGTGCTGCATCTGCAGTGATGCAGACTCTGTACCGGTCTGTCGTGGTGAAGCAAGAGCTGAGCCAGAAGGCGAAGCTCTCGATTTACCAGTCGGTCTACGCTCCTACCCTCATCTATGTTCACGAACTTTGGGTAGTGACCGAAAGAATGAGATCGCAGATATAAGCGGCCAAAATGAGTTTCCTTCGCAGGATGTCTGGGCTTTCGCTCAGAGAGAGATAGGGTGAGAAGCTCAGTCATATGGTAGGGACTCAGAGTAGAGCCGCTGCTCCTCCACGTCGAGAGGAAGCAGTTCAGGTGCTTGGGCATCTGGTTAAGAAGACCCAGGACACGCTGGAGGGACTATGTTTCTCTGCTGGCCTGGGAACACCTTGGGATTCCCCTGGATGAGCTGGCCCAAGTGGCTGGGGAGAGGGAAGTCTGGGTCTCTCTGCTTAGGCTGCTGCCCCCGCAACCCGACCCCAGATAAGGGGCAGAAAATGGATGGACGGACGGGCTTAAAGAGGGTTATTAATGTATGTATTTACCAGGCACATAGTTCAGTTCTATACCATGGTCAAGTAACTGTTACCTTCAGTTGTTATGAAAATGCTATATGTATCAAAAACAAACATCAAGATATCTAAACACCTTGAAATCATTAGGCAATGATGCTAAGTCAAATTTATTTTTGATATTGACCCTTTGCAACTATGACACCTGATCACGTGGAGTACTGAATAGAGTGACTGGAATTGTTTTCCCAATTTGTTTTTACCAGTTTAACCATGGATGTTTTAGGTAGAGGACTTCAACTTGTAGCATGCTTCATTTTCATACACTCAAAAAGTTCTATCAAGTGGAACTTYTTCAGATGGTGGAAAAGACCTGATGAGCCCTTGCTGCGAGTCGGCACCATTCTCCAGCCCATTTTACAGCAGACTGAAAGACCTTGAAAACTCAAATCACATCCACGCCACTGAATTTAGTCTTTTCTTTCATATAAACAATTTCATCTTCACACACAGCTGTTGAGCTCATTTTGGTGCTGTGTTTAGATAGATTAGCGCAAACAAATCAGTAGCACTGAGCACTCGTGTGAGGTCTATATATCAGTTTTTTTAATCATATCACAGTTATCGAAGCATTTTCAATTAATGTTCATTTTGAACATTAATTTACTTACTTTGTAAAAAATGTTATCTGCAAGTCTGTGAATACGAAGGGCTGCCAGTTCTTACAGTTGATGGCTGCTCTCCATCGCCATCTTCTGTCCTCATCCTAAGGTATGCAATAAATGTCAGATTTGGTTTGTTTTCTTGTCTTGTGCAGCCGATCACGCAGCACACTATGACCATTTTTACAGATAATAAACTAAATAAAAGTGATTTTAGACTACCACCTGTCTGACTAGCTGTTGCTGTTTACACACAGGTTGTGTTAACAACCATCATTGCAGAGTGGGCCACCTTCTAAAGAGTGTGACGTCACAGGGTCAATGTACAACAGTTTTATAACAAATGAAGGTAACAGTTACTTGATTGTGGTATACAACTGAACTATGTGCCTGGAAAATACATAATATCCCCACTTTAACATTTTATTCAACAGCTGACACCCCATATTCATGTAATGTTAGGCATTTTTTATGAGCTTAGATTACAAATAATGTTGATTTTTTTGGGCAGCAGCTACATTTTCCAAAAAAATTAAACTTTTGTATTTTCTTTCTTTCTTTCTTTCTTTCTTTCTTTCTTTC